GTAGTACATGAATACCACCGTAACCCCCCAAACTCTCACTCTCATTCAGCTCCTTCACCGCTTGTAATGATTGCGTACATCCTCAAGTTCACAATATCTTGAAAATTATATTTGCATACAGCCTTACAATCCTACTCTCTTTACAGCTCTTTTTCCATGGTCCCACAAGTTCCAGGCCGCATTTCATGTTTTGCATTTGTTTGCCTTATAAAACTCAATCCCTCCGGACATCCATAAATAGCATTCAACTCGCTCGCTTCCTCGCAAATCGTCTCGGCATCTCGACACATTGATCCAGATCACCAGTATATTTGGAATCTGTCTATGTCCAAAACTTACAAACGGTCGGCGCTTACTGGAATTACCTTTTCCAGAAATCTTATTGGGAGGATTAGAACCTAAAGCTTATGAGTATGCATATACTGCATAAGCTTTCAAATCCTTCCTTTATTATGTTCAAACCCATCATTTCTAATTTAAGCTGTGTAAGAGAGTTAAGCCATTCTGCTAATCAATCACCATCTTGGGGGTCGACGTTGTCGTTTGAGATCTACGTTGTCAGGGTTGAATGGAACATGCGCCGAGTTTATGCAACATAAGCCGATGGCATGACTATACACGCACATATACACGCACACGCATACGCACACCTCACCGTCGTATATCTCGTTATTGGGTAATTCTCACACTCTTTTGTATTCATTTAGACCGGACTCGGAAAATTGCGATAGTGATGCTGCTGGATGTCCGGAGATGTCTCACTTGCTCAATGCCTATCTTTCTACGTGTATTTCACTCCAACAACCTACTTTACTAATTTTGACGCATCACTAGATTATGAAGATAAACCGTATCATCAGACTTAAATTCGTGGAGAGCCAAAAAACGTTCAATAGCTCTTCTTCGCACATGCTCCAAACCGGCTACTACTCACTCTCTTCCTACTCGTTCGCATCATCAACATGTCATCACACAACGCAGCCAAGCCAATCATGTCAACAACATAACACCTCATCACAAGAACGATTATTAGATACCATTACATATTTAACCAATTTCAACCCCACTCGGTCATCTATCTTATCAATCTTCACCTGTGCAATCACAACTCATCTCATCGCATCTCACTAGAATCTTACCCCTCACCTCTCACCCCTCGCTCACCAATCTGATCCCTTCCTTCAGCCGTTCTTTTAGACTTTCACTACCCCTCTCATCCTCTCACTACTATCTTCAAAGTTATCACACTGCCCCCTCTTCTCCAAACTCTCACCCAATCCAACCGCAACCGCACTCTCCCACTTCATCACCCCTCCCATCCCATCCCCTTATATCACAACACCACCTCATCATCCCCCTCACCTATCCATCATCCCACCATCCCAAGCGTAGAATCCATCCCCCACACCCTCTCACTGCCCTGCTAACAACACCCTGACCCATCACAGTTATGTTTCAGCTCCAGCCACCAACCATCATCCTAGTCACATCGATCCTCTTCCCCGCCTAGCCCAATCCAATCCAATCCATAACATAACATAACACAACTAGTTAATCGGGACCAATCACAAAGACCTTCCTAGTTATGAGAATAAAAACTTACGTTTCGGAATTGAAATTTAGATGGGATGGGAATGGGAATATAATTTCTAGCTTCAAGTGATGGAGCGGAGACGGAAAATTAGGCTGCAGTTATGTTATTGCGGTTTGGATAGGTATTTGTAGGTGTATGACTGCGTAGTTTGATGAATCATAAGTTTTCTTGATTTTGTCTTGATGCTGGGATTTTTTATCTACGATGTATGGTACCGGTGAGAGAGAGAGATCTCCCTGTATTCCATATATACATGTTCTCATTTCATATGTAAAGGACATACATATATAGATAGCATTCATTCGCATTCACAATCACATTCAATCACATTCAATCCACCCAGTCCAATCCAATCTATTCCGCCATCGAACCAAGTCAACTCAAGTCAACTTAAGTCAACTTAAGTCAAAGAAACATTCTCACTAACCACATCCGCCCTCCCTATCATCCGTTCTCTCAAAAACCCAAACCCAACATCATAACCGTGACTCGTAGGGAAACAACCAAACAGAACAAACAAGAATAAGAACCTAAAAAAATCCGTCAGCCCCATCCCATAACCAATCCAATCCAACCTTGTGCAATCCAATCACATCCAATCCAAGTAATCCAAGCAATCCTTCTCTACCTAGGTATATTCAGCCTAACTCACCATATCCTATTTTAGCTTCTTTTACCGAGACCGAGCTTAAATCTTTCGACATCACCTAGGTACCTAGTAAGTAATAAGAATCTCGGTTTAGGATTACCCCTCCTTCCTTATTCGTCTGGAGAATTTATCTGCGGTGCGAATGCGAGGGAGGAATTGTAGGGATGGTAAGGGAAGAATAAGGAAAAGAAAGGAAGGGAAAGGAGAGGGGTGGATAAGTGAGAGGATTAGGATTTTTTTCTTGGTGGTGTTTATTTTTGTATGTTGATAGGAGGTAGATGGGTAGGTAGGTATGTATATCTTTAACTATAAGAGAGTTAAAGCTATGAACATGTGTTTCACCATGTTATCATGTACTTCTTGTAAGCATGCTTTTGACTTCTTAGAAGTTCTGTGTAATTCGTGATGTATCAGTGAAAGCTGGGTGACTTGGATTTAGTAGACATTTCACTTCTTATCATTCCCATTTCATACCTATCTCACTTGTCCTGCCATCCACTTCACTCCCTCTGAGAAATACAAAACCTCAATCCCATGTAAGATGAGATAGTTAAGGTATGCATATCGGAATGAATCCTAACCGCTAAATCCCATCCCCAAAGCCCAAAGCCCAAAGCCCTACCCAAAACTCCAAACTCTATGATCCAAATCAGACGAAGATTTCTCTCCAAAGCGAGAATTGGAGTACAATCAAGGGAATTTCAAACTATATATCCACCATATCTTTACACTCTATTCATTTCAATAGATTTTCTTTCGTAGACGGATGGATTCTTCTCCTTGATATGGACATATAATTTTTCTATAAGTAAAGTAATAACTTTCTTTGTGAGCTTCATCTCGTCTTGTCTTATTCTAGTAGCGTGGAGAATCAATATATGGATATGATATCTCAATATTGACTCTTGAATATCAAGCATTATATACTGGGTAGACAACAGTTCATTATCTAGATAGATAATAGATCTTAGATAGACATGAAATATCGAATCCTCAATATCAAACCCCAGATCACACACCGTCCCCTCCCAATAAAATCTCAATGCTCGAAAAAGATACCAAAAATCAGTTGAAATCCTTCAAGTGAAAATTAGAATACTAAACAAGAAACAAACAAGGAATTTCCTCCTTGAATAATCTAGTTCTATCTCTATATAGGTACCTAATCACATTTACTCATCCCATCCCATCTCCTCTCATCCTATCTCAAACTCTAGTCTTCCGCTCTTCCACTCTTCCATTCTTCCAATCCATCAAAGATCCTCATTCTTCCTATCCTTCTACTCCATATTACACTCTCACTTATACACATTCACACACCCATATACGCCAATTGATTCTCCACTGAAACCCCAGTTTCGAGTATCAATCTTCGGGTTCGGGTTCGGTCTCGGTTATGAGTTTGGATTTGCTTTGAGTATGAATCCGGATGTTCTTCTCTTCTTCTTTTTCTTCTTCTTCTTCATCCCTTTCCTATTCTCCCCCCTCCCCTCATCCCCCTCGAGCCTCTTCTCAATCTCTCCCCTCTTTTCTCACGCCACTTTCCCCCCCTCAACTTCCAATCTTCACTCTCCACTCTCCATCTCCATCAGACCCAAAATAACCAATCCCCTACACCCCTCAACTATCCTCCCAACCCTCCCAACCCTCCTCAAAACTCAAACTCAAACTCCAAACTCAAACTCCAAACTCAAACTCCAAACAAAAAAGCGATCTACAAATACATAAGCACAAGCACAAGCACAAGCGCATCAAAAAGCACTCTTATACACACTCCCACAGTCCCACACAAACCCATATCCTCTCAACAACAAATACACTCCATAAGGCTCAAATATAATATAAACAACCATCTCATCTCATCTTATCTCACATCTATTTCTTTTCTTCTATACATATATTCTACCTCTCTACCTCTCTACCTCTCTACCTCTCTACCTCTCTACCTCTCTACCTCTCTACCTCTCTACCTCTCTACCTCTCTACCTCTCTACCTCTCTACCTCTTCCCTCCCATCCCCTCCCTTCCCTCCTCTTCCCTTCCTGCCCATCCTAGTCTCCATCACCATCTTCATAACTATTTCCCCATTTTCCATCCCCTTTTTATTTCCTTCTTCTTCTCAAGAGAAAATTTTACTCGGATTTATTATCCCATTACTTTATTACTCCACTCCACTTCATTTCACTTCACTTCTCTTCATCGATTTGAAGTTCACTCTCAATTTCAATCATAGTACAAGTCAATCGATATACAACATACAATACAAACATACAAACACATAAAATCAACTTAGAATTATCTCCATCGTATTAATTTGAGTTCGAATTTGAGTTTCAATGCAATTCAATTCAATTCTTCTCATTTCCATTATCCACCCCCCTCCCTCCACCCTCTTCTCAACTCCCCTAAAATTACAGAACCATTCTCTTCATATACATCCATTCCATTCCATCCCATTCCACCACCCACCACCCACCACTTCCCACATACACGAATAACCCCAGCCCAAGAAATACACATATTCCCCCTCTCATCCCATAACACCACCCACCCACCCATCCATCCATTCATCCATTCATTCATGCCCCTAAACCATGCAAGTTGACAACGATTATACTTCTCCACTTCTCGCATCACAAAAGAAAAAAAATAACGAAAGAAAGAAAGAATTCACGCTCATACACATATACATGCAAATACAAATGCAAATGCCGCTCCCAATCCCAATCGCATCCCACCCCACCCTCCCATAACATCTCAATAACGATCTCTCCCTTGATCCTCCGGTTCATGACTATAAGTACACGCCGCGCCCTTTGCACACTTTCCCTCTCCCCAAAATTTACACGGTTGTTTCTTTCCCTTGTACTGTCCATTTTCATCTAGCGGTTCCCATTTGGTATCTTTCTTCCAATCCTTTCCCTGCTTACGCCATTTGTCATTGTTGTAATTATTTTTACCTCCTCTCGAATCTCGATTTTCATCACTTTGATGACCGGGCCACCTTGATGAGGAATCGGTAGGAAGGGAAGGTGCATAGCCTTGAAGAGCAGGATTATTGGACCAGGCACTGAAATCGAATTGTTGGGGTGTTGATGATGATGTTGGGGTATCGGTACTTGGGTTGTTATTTCCAGTCAAGCTCGCTAGGTATTGTTGGACTTGTTGATTGACGTCTGGGACCGCGACTTGATAATTCATAACCGGCTGAGTCATTTGTGGTTGATAACCCTGCATTTGAGGGACTGACATTGGAGGTACCATTGAAGGAGCGGGTGGAGCTTGAGGAGCTTGCATTTGTGCAAGAAGTCTCTCTTCTGCAGCATTAGGATGATCCTTATTATAACCATCCCACCAATCCTTCTTTTGTGCTTCGTTCATCCACTCAGGTGGTTCGATAGCTGGATATGGTTTGCCCTTCAAAGTTGCGGCAACACGTTGAAGATTCTCCCATGCTACGTCCATAATGGGGTTGGATTTTGGTGCTCCAGCAAGTTGTTGTAATGCAGGCATACCATTAGTTGAAGATGAAGCATTTTGTGTGAAACCGCGAGCTTGGTTATCTAGCATTTCTTTGTACTTTCTTTCTTCCAAACGACTGATCGCAAGGGTTCGTGCATATTCTGGACCATACTGATGAATATCTTGAAGTCTTTGGATCAACCAAGGAGCATTTGGATACTTCAGTTGTTTTACCATACCAGTAGCGGCATCATTTGCAGAAGATGGTTCTTTTGCAGATGGTGGAATTTCTGAAGGATCATTATAGATTACGAGTAACTCATTGGCCTCTCGTCGCTCTTGTTCTTGCTGTTCCGGAGTAACAAACTTGACATTTCCACCTCTGGTAATATAACTTGGACCATATGTAGTATGCTTATCCAGATCGGAAAGATCGACTTCAACCAGAGTAGGATAAGGTCGATCCTCAATCATACCAGACATGACTTCATCATCGTCCTCATCTGTAGCTTGAACTCGTTGCTTATGCATCATACCCTCAGAATGATTATTACGTGCATCTCTCAACATACCATCTTGACGTCCCTCATCTTCTGCAACCTCATGTTTGAATAAACGAATTTGCTCAAGTTCATCATCTGGCTTGAATTTGACTCTGAGATGTCGTCTGCTTTCTTTTCGCTCACGACGCTTCTTTTCTTCAGGAGTTTCGGGAGGTCCAGCCGCCGGCGAAGCCTTCTTTGGTGCCTCAGGTGGTTTCTCGATGCTGGCCAGGATATCACCTAACCTGGATGACATTGGTGGCGGTGGAGGTGGTGATGGTTCTTTCTTCTTGGGTGGCGCAACCTTTGGAGCAGGCTTAGGAGTTGACTTGGAGGAAGAAATACCAAGAAGGTTGACATTGGACCTCTTAGGTATCGGAGGCAATTTCGTTGTCGAGGTAGGAGTGCCAGAAATATCAGTAGCAAACTTCTTATTTGGTTTGCCATTACTGCTATCCCCTTCATGAGGTCTTTTTGATGAGTTTGGATTAGTTGCTGTGGGCTTCAAGGATTCTGTAGCTCGAGATTTAATTTGTTCTATCTTTTCAAGCTTCTTCTTGGTGTCTTCAGCGCTAGGCAATGTCTGATCTATTTTAGAAGCTCTTCCCTTTGCATCAACTGTGTTATCCATTATAACTTTAATGTAATTTTTAATTTCTTGATCTCCTTTCTTATTCCAACGCTTTGCAAGAGCATCAAATTTACTCTTCGTAAGCAAATCTTCTGTGAGTGTTTGAAATTTGGCAAGCAAAGTAAAAACAGCTCGTGGAAGTTTACCAATGTAATCTTCTGTTTTTGTACATTCGATGAGTGTGGCTGTCAAACCACTAACTAATTTCTGGTGACCACCAAGATTTTCCACAATTGGTCCATAGCCGAGCTTGTTCGCTGCCTCGATTGTTTGGTACAGAGCTTCTGATAGTTCGGAACGGTGTGACTTGAGTTTTTGTAATTGTCCCTCGGGAGCTTTAGATGTTGTTGCTTCTTGTAATTTTGCCGTGATATCCTTGATTTGAGTTCGAAGACCAATGAAAGTATTGGCATAATCGTTCATAGCACTTGTAATAGCAGCGGCACTTGGACTAGAATTGGGATCTTTCCAGACAATTCCTATGGCATCCCATCGGGCAGCACTAGGAATATCACTGGGACGCGTGAGTTCACGCACCTGTATTGATCAATCATTAGCATTAGTTTTTAGTAATGATTGGCTATCAGCCATGGGTTGGCATATCAATAACGTCAAGACATGTATGCGAGCATGCTAGTATGATTGTCCACTTATGTATTGAGATAGTTCACACAGAACACGTCAAATATCTTATTATGGAATAGCAACAGCAGATGCATGTCATACACATGATAAAGATCGATCACATTCACAAATTATTGGGGGAGGGGAATTTGTACTTACAGTGCTGATATCTATTGGAGGTGGCATATCTTCTTCCTCATCATCTTCATAATCAGACTCTTCTTCCGAACTTGTTTCTTCTTCTGAAGTGCTTGATTCCGTGGGTGTTGAAGACTTAGTTGGCGTGTTTGTACCATCAGAACGTACATTAGAATCCTTATCAAAAGCAGATCTACCAGTGCCTTTATAAGTGCTAACATGTGTTTTCTTCTGTTTTGGCGCGCGAATTTTCTGTGAAATTTTTGCTGGTGTTGTTGAAATTTCTAACCGATATATTAATATTGAGGTAAACAAAGAGATCCGATGATACTTACTTGATTTATTCAGTCCGGGTACTAGTTCTTTTCCACTTCTGGATTTTCTCGGATGATACTTTGGAATGGTATCTACACAAAAGATGTTAGCAAATTTGATGTCTGGAAGAAAAAAATTTTGGGGTGTACTAACTCTTTAGTGCAGGAGGAACTTGTATAGGCGTATCTTCCCATGCTAAAAATGGAGCATATGAAAATCTAGGTCTTGAGGAAGGGTTGTTCGCAACAAGATCTGGATGAGTGACTCGGAGTGGGTTTGGAGCCGGAGCAATGGGTTGAGGTTCGGGAATCTCTCTTTGACGAGGGACAGCAATAGCAGGTGCAGAATATTGTTCTGTAATTGGAACATGTTGCTTTACCTCCTCCTTTGGAACAAGATCTGTAGGAATCGAAGGATACCGCACGGTGTTGTTGGATGAATTCTGGTCCATCTTTTGTGGTACAATACCATTTTGAGGTTGGTTAAAGAATTGATTATCATTACTTTGTGTCCTTTGGCCATAGTTATAATTAGGTTTACTACCAATTCCACTATTTGATCGTTGAAAAGCGGCCGATGGAATCCCACTGTTCATTTGCTGTTGAGCCAACAAACTGTATTGAAGTGTTTGAGGAGAAATTGTGGGATGTTGAGTGGTATTTTGCTGATACGGGAAAGAACTTTGAGCACCATGGTATGAACTTGATTCTTGCATTGAAGGATCGAGAGCGTAAGAGGTAGGAGTGAACATGTCTGATGGTCTGGCATGTTGGTACTGCGCAGCAGCATATGCAGGACTATTCGTATATGATAGAGGATTATACGTGGGTTGCTGATGAGATTGATGAGAAATATCATACTGTCCATAAGAAGGCTGGATATTCGAATATCTTCCATATGGATCTGATTGTATATGCTGCTGTTGAGGCTGTTGTTGAGGCTGTTGGGATTGAGATTGTTGTTGTTGGTATGCATATTGGTCTGCACTTGGCCAAACTGAGCCATTACTCAATAACCCATCGAAATCAACATCATCTGGTATGTAACCATGATTATCACCGTCCATCTTGAATCGTGAAAGTGAGATGTGGTCACGTGAATGACTGGAGGGTGCCTTGGTAGAATTAGAGTGGCTCGGCAAGAGACGCTTAAATGCGGGTAACTAGCTTTTCGAACTAGGCTCGGGGCGTGGCTAGAAAAATAGCGCGGTGCGTCCCGAAAGGTCCAAGACCAGGAGTAAGATTATTCGTCTATTCGATTTATGGTAAAGTGGATGAATTGGCTTGGTCTTATTGGGTAAGCTATACAACAAAGAACGTGAATTAGCTGACAAGTACATTTTTGATTGAGCAACCCCCCATGAAAGAGAGAAATCCCATCTTGATGGCTGGGCGTAAAGTAAAAAGTGTGTGGTGGTGTAAAGAGAAAAATGTAAGCAAAAAGAAAAGGAAACAAAAGATGAGTTTTTGGTGTGTAGGGAGGTATGCAAAAGCCACAGATGACGATGCTTGCAACTCTCTGATCATATGCGATGCAATAATCCATCCGTTGAAGAAATTCTCTGGAAAGATAATAGTAATGAAGATGTTGATGGACGGATGGATGGATGGATCAATGAATGAATGAATGCTTTCCAAAACACACCCTCGAAGTATGAATTGACCATTATCACACCTCACTTCTGCGTTATTATCAAAATGTGTGATGTCCCATGAATGTACCTTTCTCATCAAGTACACTCAGCAGTACAATCACACACTTTTTTTGTTCTAAACGCCAGAAGCCAGATAGCCAAGAAATACTATCGGTAAGAAGAAGTACAACAGCGGCCTGCACAGTACAATATAGTCCAGTGAAGCCAGGCTCGAGATATATAAGGATACCATCTCTGCAGCAATGATATAGATCAAGATCTCCCATGTTGAAATGATCTTTGCTCTTTTCACTGTGCTATACGACGTGGGCAACTTATAACATCTCAACCTTGCACGTTGATATGCGGTCCCTTTCCGACCTCTCTATGCGCAAGCCAAAGCATGAAAGCTTCGTGTCTATGCAGATTGAGGATTCTTGGGGGGTGGCAATACAATATTTTGGGTAGGGGGAGGGGGAGGTAAACGTGTAGTTGTAGATAATTTTGCCAGCTTCAATTGCATGGCGTATCAAGATTTTGTGGTGTTGTGTGTATTCAAAGTGTTACCATACCCTTTTTTTGTCTTTTTTCTGAGGTCTCTGTCTGCTTTGCGCACTTAGATCTGCCCTTGTGAATATCTCTTCTAAAGTTATACACTCTTATGAGTGATCCAGCAGCCTTTTTCTTTTTCTTGTTCAAATCCGGTCACTTTTTTTTGTTCAATAATTAATTTGTACGATCATGAATTCTGATTAAAAGTAAAGTTGGCGCGTCCATGTGATAACCATCAAAGAGAAAATGTAATGGGACAGTTGATGAAGTTGGGGGAAGAGGTGAAGAGGTGAAGAGGTGTAGAGGTGTAGAGTTGAAGAGTTGAAGAGTTGAAGTGGTGTGTTTGATGAAGAATTGGGTAACGGTGATGGTGTTGTTGATGAAGGTCGAGAGATAAAGTACGGAAGAGAAATCCCAATTTGATGGTGTTTTGTTGTGTATTGTATTGAAGAAAGGAACGAGAGATTGAAGGAATGAACGATTGGGAAAGTCCTTTTTTTCGCTTTCTACTTTCGCCTGCAGAACGTTTCGCCGTACAAAAGAGAGACCCCCCTTGTGCCTGGATTTGATTTGATGACGCTAAAACATTCTTAGTTTAGATTCACATTATTGGACAGTATTGGACATTATTGGATACAATTCACCATGAGAGTTGATATTGATACTCTCATATCCTCATCCTCTCATGCTCATACTCTCATACCCTCATACCCTCATACCCTCAGCCTCTCACAGCCTCATACCAACAAGGGAAGAAATTCACTAGGGAAACCTTCCTACCTACCTCGTACCGATAACTTGAACGATAAGCTATCGCAAAAGTCGCAGATGTGTCCTTGAGTGAAAGGCAAACCATTCCATACCTTTCTTGAATTTCATCTACCTCATAATACTTTGATTATTGCGCATCTTAATACTGGTATTGCATGATATATTCTGGCCAATTTGGCTGAATCACAGCCTTGAAAATCAATAACAAACATGGCAACTTCACATAACTCACTCCGGGATCGTCAGATCAGTATGTAAATAAATTCCCCCCCCGCCCCCCAATATTCTAGCTCTTTTACATACTTCGATACTGATCCATCTCTCTATAGGATCAATTGAGCGCATGCTAAATTTGAATCATGATTCCCCCGAATCTGCGAATGCCCACGATCAAACATCACACACTGGAATCGCCGTTCCATCAGTACCTATTCTAAATGAAGATGGAGAACCAATATGGAAGGTCTTGGTCTTTGACGATTTAGGACGAGATGTTATCAGTAGTGTACTACGAGTTAGTGACTTGAGAGCTTGGGGAGTTACAATGCATATGTATGTTGATGTGCGGGGAAGCAAGAGCTTCAATGTGACTTGAAAAGTACTGATGAAGTTAGGCATATTACAGCAAATCGACATCCTATTCCAGATGTTCCAGTATTATATTTGGTTGAACCTACGGAAGCCAACTTGAAGGGAATTACCAGTGATCTCTCGAAAGGTCTCTATTCTCCTGCCTACATCAACTTTCTCTCCTCGATACCCCGCGCATTATTAGAAGATTTCGCAAAGCAAACGGTGGAAGCTGGAACATCAGAAAACATTGCGCAATTTTTTGATCAATACCTGAATTTTATTGTTGGAGAACCGGACCTCTTTAGTCTTGGAATGAGAAAACAGAATACATATTGGGCATTGAACAGCGCAAAGACAAAGGATGAGGAATTGGACAACGTGGTTGATAGGATTGTCAGCGGACTTTTCAGTGTTATGGTCACAATGGGTAAGATATTTGATGATTTTGTATCGGTGCTGAGCTAATAATTCAAAGGCGTTATGCCAATAATCAGATGTCCTCCTGGTGCAGCAGCAGAAATGATCTCTGCTAAACTCGATCGAAAATTGAGAGACCACGTCCTAAATTCAAAAGACAATCTGTTCTCCGGCCCGGCCAATCGTCAGTCTACCATTGCGCCCTCTGCTCGACCTGTGCTCATTATACTCGATCGAAATGTTGATTTAATTCCTATGCTGTCGCATTCCTGGACATATCAGTCACTCGTACATGATGTTCTCAAAATGAAGTTAAATCGAATTACCGTCGAGACACCAATAGATGAGGAAAATCCTGCAAAGGGTACAACTAAAAAGGCCTACGATTTGAATGCGAATGATTTTTTCTGGGCAAAAAATTCCGCTGTGCCGTTTCCACAAGTAGCGGAGGATATTGATGCAGAATTAATGCGATACAAGGCCGATGCAACTGATATAACGAAGAGGACAGGCGCTTCCTCCATAGAAGATCTTCAAAATGATACGAGTGCTTCAGCACAACATCTGAAGGCTGCCATTACCTTACTTCCCGAATTGAGAGAACGAAAAGCTGTGCTAGATATGCACATGAATATATTAGCTGGACTTTTGACCGGTATAAAGGATCGACAATTGGATAACTTTTACCAAATGGAAGAAAACATCATGAAGCAAACAAAAGCGCAAATGCTCGAGGTTATAAATGATGCAGATAAAGGCAAAGAACCAACAGATAAATTGAGATTATTTATCATCTGGTACTTGAGTACCGAACAAGAAATCACGAGGGCTGAGATGGACAAATTTGAAGAATCATTGAAGACTGCAGGTGCTGACACTACATCTCTGGCATATGTCAAACAGTAAGTCATTTATTCATTTGTTTTATTTAGTTGATGCGACTAACAAATAAATCAGAGTTCGCACCACAACCCGAATGACAATGCTCACTACAGCTCCTACCCCTGCTTCTCAACCACCAAGTACATCCGGCGATCTTTTCCGTGGTCTCTCTTCCATTTCTTCTCGCCTCACCACATCCCTTAAAGAAACTGGTATTACCACCAATTTCGATAATTTAATATCCGGAGTAAAGAATTTCCTTCCCGCAAACCGTGATCTTACTGTCACAAAAATCACAGAATCAATTATGGATCCTCAATCCGCTTCTAGTTCCGCAATAGCAAAAACGGAAGATTATCTTTACTTTGACCCTAGATCCGCAAATGCAAGAGGTACCGTACCACCAGCAAGCGCGAGCAGAAGAAATGAAATGCCAGGAAGTCTACAAGGACCGGGTATTACACCAAGTTTTGGTATGCGTAGACAAGGGTTCAGTGAAGCAATTGTTTTTACAGTTGGTGGAGGTAGTATGGATGAATATGGAAATTTACAGGAGTGGACGAGAAGGGTTAATAAAGAGGGTGGGGGAGGAATTGGGAAGAGAAGAGTGGTTTATGGAAGTACGGAGTTGGTTAATGCGGAGGAATTTTTGAGCGGGGAATTGGGAATGCTGGGTGGTGAATGTTCGTAGATTGAGTGGATGGATTTATTGACTTGATGTATCATGGAATGAAGAAAATCACACAGTTTGATGTGTGGAAATGAGAGGGAGAAGTGGTAAAAATAGCTGTATAGCAAGCGAAGCGAAATGTTTGAATGGAATATGATCTGATATGCGTTATTTCCATCATTGGAGTTTTCTCTCTTCTTAAAAACCCGTGCAGTCAGTAGTCAGTTAGTCCGGGTGTTTCCTCTCTTTCGTATGTGGTTTGATGTTCACTCTCATGATGTCATTCGGATAGGAAAGTACCTAGATAGGGTAGGTAGGAAGATAGGTAGGTGTGTAGGTGTGTAGAAGAAAAAAATTAAGCGAGGTTCTTGATTTCAAGATGGTGGTGTTGTGTTGTGTTGTGTTGTGTTGTATTGTGTTGTATTGTGTTGTATTGTGTTGTATTGTGTTGTATTGTTTTTATTGTTTTAAAAGTAGGAGTGGGAGGGGGAAGGGAAGGGAAAGTAAGAGGGGGAAGTAAGAGGGGGAAGTAAGAGGGGGAAGTAAGAGAGAGAGTAAGTGTGGTGCT